AAAAAAAAAAAAGAAAAAGGAAAAAATTTCTTTAAAAAGCTTTTTTTTTGAATACATTTGAAATTCCGATATGATATGACACCCAATAATTAAACCTGCACCAAGCAACACTGAAAAAAAACCACAGTTGTGCAAAAGTCAAAAAATGTTTTCAAAAACACAGAAATATCCGATAAGCTTTATCAAAATCAAAGCTTCGACAAGCTATACAGAAAGGCAACTACGAGATTAGCAACAACATTAAAAAGCCGAATATAACGGCCAAAGACATGCACAAACAATTCTGTGTTGTATCAAACAGGAAAAGTGCCGCAAAAAAAAAAAGAAAAAGAAACAGGAAAACAAAGCTAAATCAGTATGTCCAAAACAAAAAAACAAAAGCTGAAAAATTACTGAAAAACCAGTTTTTTAAAGCGCAAAGTTCTCTACAGCCTCCGCAAATTCACTCAGCATATTGAAAACGTATTATACATTTCTATTTGCAGCATAAAAAATAAAGCCAAAAAAAAACAAGAAAAAAAAAAAATTAAGAACCATATACAGAGAAAGTTTCCATAATAAAAACTAAGCTGGCACTTCGCCAATAAAAAATCGCTTTAGGATATATATTTTCAAATGGGATTTTTATTGAATGCTATAAGAGGCATTACAGTACCAACAAAGATTTTCTTCCAACTTGGAACCTTCAACGTAATATTGGATTTACATTGGATGTATACGATGGGTATTAGATGGAAAGTAAATTTAATTAAACATTTCCATCAGGATCTTTTGGTGCTTTGTTAATTATTATTTCTTTAAAGCTTACAGTTCAGCGCAGGAAAACCGTTACTTTTGGATAAACCTGGAAAAAATTCAGGACTGTTTAGCGAGTTTGACAGTATCAGCTTGATAATCTTTCAGAGTTTCATTATTGTAAAGCGGGAACTTGGATTTATGGAACAGCTACTGCAAAAACAACGAGTAAACAGGAAATAAAATTTACAAAAAACTTATTGCGATATGGTACTACGCAACCAGTAGTGACCTTAGAACCAAGACAAAATTCCTTCTTTACCATCTTATATAGCAGAACACAGGACACGAGTTTGCTGTCGCATGAGTATAATGGTACGATTCAGATTTCTACAACAGCATGCGCGGCTATCATTCTGGAAACACTGAAGAACTCTAGCTGTTCTCAAAAGAACAACTTTAAAATTCAAAAAATCAGCTCATTTAAGTCTTCTTTGATTAAAACATTCACTGTTTACCATGACGTCAAGAGTGGAAGACAATTATTTGAAAAATGTTCTTGAAGAGCTCCTAAATTCATCAGCACAGTCTCTTGAGAACAGTCTATACACATTGCTCATATACATGAAATAATTTTGTTTTAATTATCTGTGATACGTTCAAATAGCTGTGGTTTCAGGAGGCAGATTTACTCAAAATTACGCTCAGCCAAGAAATGTTTCGTAGAACTGTATACCTGTTTTTGATTTCTTTTTTATATTTTACTTACCTGTGATATTAAAATTGATAATTTTATCATTTACTTCATGCAAATGGCACAGTTTTTATTTAGTCTTTATAAATTTTCTTCAGTTATTCTACTTTAAGAACAACAGTTTTAAGAGGATATTCACGGCCTAATTATAGTACATTTCAATAGCAGAAAATTTTTCAGTTTTTGTCGTTTTTGTTGAGTTTTATTATAACTGTGATAAACATCATTTCAACATAGACTGGAGAAACTTGAACGATAAATTAGTCTTGCATTTTACTCACTGATTAGAGTTGAAGAAAATTGAACTGCTAATTTACCATTTTTGTCAGCTTAACATCTTTTGCTAGAATAATTTTG